TAATTATGTGATATGTTTATGCATAGATAGGTTTATCAGCCCCCCTCATTGGCCGCCTTCTTGCACATACTTGCACACATTTGTACAATTGTAGTGGTTGTACCTCTCTACTGGGCACTGCCCAACTGGGGCCCAGAGGCCAAATCCCACCCACAACCTAGTTTTTGATAATGACATTTTGTTGGAAAGTAGCTATACTTGCTTATGTGTTCTTTGCATGCTAGCTGCAGTGGCAGGGTAGTTGTAACAGATCTACAGGCCCAGAAGGCCCCAAAGCAGGTTGGCCTTTAACAGCTGCTCAGCCTCTGCTCCAACTGTGTGTTGATACCTGATAAAGTTGTTTCCTATTCTTCATTTTAACAATTGCTTGGCATATCTAACAAGTTTGTCCTTCTACATGAGTTTTAGACTTAATCTGATAAGCTTGCTTGACTCCCTTCCTTTCCCCTACTTTAGCATTTAGTGGAGTGGGTGTGTGAACTGTGGGGCAGGTAGAAGAGGGATGGGAGTGCTTTTAATTTGTAGTTTAGCGATAGGAAAAGCAATTGCTTTACAATGTTGGGTCCTTCCCTTCCAGAACTATTAACTGTCTCTACATTTATGACTGTCACTAAATTTTTATTGCTTCTTCATTTGTATCTTACATAATGAAGCTTATCCCTATATGTATTATTGCTTTTTGATGCTATTGTAATTGAGATTGTCCCTCAGTTATATTTTACTTATGGTATAAGGGAAAGCTTCTGCCTTTTATGCATTTAAATTGTTTCTGAGCCTTATGGGTATACACTATTAGAACCGTTACTTTTTGTTGTTGTTTTTGGCAGTCATCATGTGAACTTGTCCATAATCATTTGATTCCTAATGTTTATGTGTCCGCCTGTGTTGTGGACTTCTGTTACTGTAGTGGTTTGGGAGGCTGGACTCGGACCTCCTTCCTTCCCAGTGATGCTCATTTTCCCCTTTCATCTTGTGTGGCTCACATGTAGCAAATAGTAATTAAATAAAACTAGACATTTTCATACCCAGACAGCATTTGTTGGTGGTTTTAAAAATACCCAGAAGGTAATTTAGGTGAGCTCTTTATCAAGCAGTCTGGGCTTTTTTGCAGAGCTGATCGTTGCCTTCAGTGTAGATTGTAGAGCCATGGTGCCTGCCACTGCTCACTGTGGAAAGTTGTTGGATCATGGAGTACAGTTGACTTAACTTTGTGTTTATCCTCTGGAATTGAAATAGGAGCAGAAGGAGATTTTTATGAATCAGTAAATGCTTTCCTAAATGTATTCTCTGTGAAGCATTTGATCTTTACCCTACCATCTCTGCCTTAAGGATGTGAAATCTATTTTAGATTTCAAGGTCTATTACTTGCCCTGAGCACTGAACAGATGAACCATAAATCCAATATCTGTTAACCTTTGCGAATTTATCTTTTATTGCTATTTTTGCCCTTTTCCCCTGCCAAATTCATGTTGTCTTATGTTGGTGACACTAAAGTAAAGCTATTCATATTACTGGTTTCATCTGTTTCTTTTTCTTTTCCCCTTTGAGTGCACTGATGATGAGCTGGTGGTCATAATGGGAATTGGGTATGAAAATGGATGCTGACATCATGTGGTTCATGAAATGAACCCTTTTACTTTTACTCCCTTTAGTGAAGTGAAATTCCATTTATAGAATGCAGTCATAAACATTCCTGTGTGTTTATCAGTATATTGAGATTTCCTGCCACCATCATTATAAATAACAGGTGCTGGGAGATACAGACACAGACACACAAATATACATACATATAGACACATACACAATGATGCTATCATAGGTTGTAGAGATGCATCAAGACACTCAGCTCAGTCACAGACAAGGTCTGACCTTTTGGGGTCTTTGATATGGGACTGGAGTTAGAGCTAGGTAAATAGAAACTATTTTTGGTGGTGGTTTGGTTTGGAGAGTTCTGTAAGTAAATACAATAGTAATTGATAGCTTTTATTGAGCACTTGTTATATTTCAGGCATTGTGATGGGTGTCTGACACATCTAGGTGTTGTGGTGGGTGTCTAATTCTACATTTTTATTCCTGCAACACTTTGCAGGATGACTTCTTGTTTTATAGATAAAGTTGAGAGCTAGATCGAATAGACTAACTGGTAGATTGGAGACTTGCACCATCCCCTGGACCCGAGGGTCAGGACATAAAGTGTAGTGGTCCTTTTAGCATGTGTACCCATGGACTGTTGGGAGTGGGCAGGTGTGGAGGGGAAGAGAAGGATTTGTGAAGGGGTGTGAAAGACTTTTGAAGCATGGACAGGGCATAACTCATGAAAATCCCAGAAGTCCAGCTTGAGAATGACTTGTTTCTTACCCTTCACACGTCTTCCACCTCAGGTTCAGGAAGAGGCAGCCCTAACAGCCTCAGTTCTTATTACGGTACTCTTCAGTGACATCTGGTATGGCATAAACAGCAGGCTAAAGTGGCAGGGTGGTATATGGTAGTCACAAGGACCTCGCTATGTGTTGGCCTTGACCATTCCTTTCTCCCTTCCCTCCTGTGTGGCTTCAGTAGCAAGACAATCCATAGCCCTGAGTCCCATTTGGTGTGTGGCGCAAGGTGGTATTGGAATGTATTGGCTTGTCTTCCTGGTTTTCAGTTGAGAAACTGTTAAGGGGTGGTGGTATGCTTGTGACTCGGTAACAGCTGGGGAGGGGTGTAGGAGTTGGTGTGTCAACTCTTCACGGCCTCTTGCAGGTTCAGAGAGTACTGTTGCTCCTGGCATGAAGCCCTCTCTGTCTTTATTAAATACAAACATAAGGAAGTATATACATACCGTGAACATACATGCACATACATACACCTAGACCTATCCTACATACATTTCTGAACCTTTCCTATGCATGTGTGCTGAGTAGGTGATCTAGATTGATCATGTGCCATATTTTGTCATTTACCTTAAGCGTGCCTAAATCATTAAGGTGCAAGCAGTTAACTGGAATCTTAGCTTTTGGGTTTTTGTTTGTTTGTTTTTAGACCGGGTCTCACTTAGTCTTGAACTTGCTGTTTAGCAGACCTTGAATTCCTGATCCTTCTGCCTCCCCCTCCCAAGAGTTGGTACTATAGGGGAGCAGCAACACATGGCTGGCGACAAATTTTTTTTTTTTTTTTTTTTTTTGTATTTTTGAGACAGGGGTTCCCTGTAGCCCCAGCTGTCCTGGGACTCACTATGTAGACCAGGCTGACCTTGAACTCACAGGGATCCGCCTGCCTCTGCCTCCTGAGTGCTGGGATTAAAGGCATGCACCACCACGCCTGGCACAAATCTATTTTTAAAAATATTTTATTTATTATTTCGATTTTATGTGTATGAGTGTATTCCCTGCGTATATGTGAGTGCACCTGTGTCATGCAGTGCCACGGAGGTCAGAAGAAGGCTTTGGATTCCTCTGGAAATGGAGTTAAGGATGGTTCATAGCTGCCATGTGGGTGCTGGGAATGGAACCCGGGTCCTCTGCAAGAGCAGTCAGTGCTCTTAACCACTGAGCCATCTTTCCAGCCCCCACAAGTCTGTTTTTAAGGCCTGTTTAGAGCCAAGGCCCTGTCTCAGCCCAGTACTGGGTCTTGTGGCCATTTTAGAAGGATGTGAACTGCTGGAGCAGTGCACATGAACAAGTGTGGCAACTGGCCCTGTGCTTGCCTGTGCATGTCAGGGGCGTCTTGTTGCCTGCCTCCTCTACCCTGTAGGCCTGTCAATGAATGAATTCTTAGCAAGATTTAAAGAGCAAGTGAGCCTTTCTGACTGATAGCAGAAAGCCAGCAGCTCTCCAGGTGCAGGGCTGAAGTCCAGAGGGTTCAGCCCAGCACAGACAACTCATACTGTAGCATCTGACCCTTGGGTCTGTTCTCTACATCTAGTGAGTGTCCCAAATGATATTCCAGTGAAGTTATTTCCTTCCTGCCTCCTTCCTTGAATGGTTAACTCAGAGTTAGTCTCTTTTCAAAGTCACTTTTATATTAACTTTTAGAATAGGAAATAATATTTCTATTGATGCTTTTTCAAAGCTTGTGTATACCTATGCAGGAATACTTTATAAAAACTTTTTTTGGGGGGGCGGAGGGGTACTGGGAATCAAACCTAGAATGTCTATACAAACATTTGAAATGGGAAATTCAAAAGCCTGACAATTTACTCTAGTTGTACATTGTGCAAGATTCTGGGATGGAGCAGCTTCACATGTCTCTATGTCTGACTTGACATGCAGTTATGAAATGGAAGAGGTGGTACACACATGCACCCTTTGAACCGGGCCTACTGCCCCAGGAGTATGGTTTCTGTTCCTGCACATCCTTGACTGTTGTTGTGGGACCTGCAAGTAACTAGACAACCCTGGGTTCTGTGACCTGGAGCTCACAGGGCAGTTCTTTATCTGTGTATTCAAGGGGAGGTGGAAGGGGCATTGATTCCGTGTTACTCCCTACTGTATAATCAACCACAAAAGAAATATAAGAAAGATTATAAAGTGCTGAACACTGGGATGCTATTCACAAAAGAAATGTAAGATTATAAAGTGCTGAACGCTGGGATGCCATTCTATAATTTCTGACCTGCAGCTTGCCTATTGAACCAGAAATTCTAGGCAGACAGGAAATCGAAGATATTTCCTTTGAGTTCTCATCGTCTTCTACTTGTGTGACTTGTTTAATCTTCTAACATTATTTATATCTTCCTGTGAGATTCAGGTGCAGTGCCGGCGGGATTTTACAGCTATGGCAGTATTCCCATTTCACCTTAGAATTCACAGGAAAATTTCATGAGCTTTAGTGTTTGGTTGAAGACTTAACTTTTTGTCAGACTTTATTTCTGGGAGATAAGGTCAGTGGTTGGGAGTTGTTGTTTGCTTGTAAGTATCAGGTTGGTGAAAGTACTAAAACAGTTGTTTATTTTGACTTTTGAACTTTAAATTTTTTTTTACTGAGAACTAACCCTATTTTTTCTCCTTTTTCTTTTAAAGACTTTCAGCTGAACTCTCATCTCTCAACACTGGCAAATATTCATAAGATCTACCATACCCTAAACAAGCTAGTAAGTCAGTCTTTTAAAGATAAAACCACCAGCTTTAAAGTAGCTGCTTTGTGCAAGCATATTTGATAAAATAATTTGAATTGGGACTATCAACTGCTTTATGAAAATACCAGATTTTAAAACTTGCTGTAGTGGGTTGGGCCTGGTAGCACACACCTTTAATCCCAGCACTCGGGAGGCAGAGGCAGGCAGTCTCTGTGAGATGGAGGCTGTGTGATTTCTTGGTATTAATGATCATGTGTCTTACAGAATCTGACAGAAGACGTTGGCCAAGACGATCACCAAACAGGTAAATGCTAACACGACTGAATCGTAACCATACTGTGGTAAAATAGTAGAAGATAAGCACTAGTCCATTAACAAGTCCTCACTCCATGTAGGATCCCCAAGGTGCCCAGGGTGCCCAGCGTGCTCAGGGTTTGGGTGAAAAGGCAATCATGTTGCCATGTTGCAACTCCTTCCCAGAAGGGAATTTGCTTCACAGCTCTGGATTATGACAGAGCTTTAGTTTTCAGAGAACATTTCTTTCTTTACTAAAGTATTTTAACTCTTCTAAAAAGGTATTACAGGAATGCCCTTTAAAAGACATTCTATAGATGTTCATTAAATTGAACTGCAAAATGATTTGAAAGCTGGGAAGGTACTTGTATGTGTCCTGTATAGGTCCTGAGGATTTATGAGTGGGGAAATGGAGCCTTGTTCACGGCGTAGGTAACATTCTAATTTCCTCATTCACCATGGCCCCCAGCTCCCACCTCTGCAGGTTTGGGATGGGTCCTCAGAGTCTGCACTTCTGTCAAGTTCCGAGGCCGTAATATATCTGGCCTGGGGACCACGCTCTGAGAGCTGTATAGTTTGTGATTATACAGTTTAGAAATGTGTGTTTAATCTGTAGTTACTAAACTTGTGACAAAAATCATTGAAATGTATTATAAAATTGGAAAATTATTACAGAAATGTGTTTTTGTATAATATTTTTATTAATTCTTTGAGAATGTCATACAATGTGTTTTGATCATATTCACCCCCTGTTCCTCTTCCTAGACTCCTCCCCAAATTCCTTCCCGCTCTTTTTTAATGACCCACTCAGTGTAATTTGTGCTACCCATATACTCCTTGGTGTGGGGCTGTCCACGGTAGCATGATGGACCTATCAGGAGCCATACCCTGAAAGAAACTGACTCTTGGCCCAGGAGCCATCATCTGTCTAGAGCTCCTCAGTTAGAGGTGGGGGCTCATTTGCCCCTCCCTGCTCCATGCTAGATTGTTGACTAGCTTGATTGACTTGCATAGCAGCCATAGCTGCTGAGAGTCCATGAGTGCAATGACCTTGTTGTGTCCAGAAGATGTTTTTGCTCCAGTCCTCCCTGACCTCTGGCTCCTACAATCTTTCTGCCCCCTCTTCTACCATGGTCCTTGAGCTTGGGGATGTTGGGTGAGCATTCCACTAACAACTTACTCTCTGCTCTTTGACCGGTTGTGTCTGCTGCACAAAGAAAGTACTCTGATGAGGCCTTAGAACAGCATTAGTTTATGGGTAGAAAGGTGTGAATTATGAGAGCAGTTTGATACAGTATTCACTTAGCAGAATAATAACTTAGAGAACCTGTTAATGTGTTTGTCTTAGTCTGTTTAGGCTACTATAACAAAATATCTTAGAGTGAATGACTTACAAATAACAGTTCTGGAGGCTGGGAAATTCAAGAGGAAGGTGGGAGCAGACCCCTGTGTGGTGAGGCTTGTTCTTCATTGGTGGCTTCTTGGCTTCATTTTCACATGACGGGAGGGGCAGGCACCCTCTCAGTCTTCTTTCATAAGGACACAAATCCCAGTCACAAGGATAGCCTCATGACTTAATCACTCCCAAAGGCCCCACCTCTTCATACCAGCACTTTGGGGATTAGATGTCTGCATGAATTTCAGAGGGACACATTCAGGCCCCAGCAGTGCTTGTTGGAAAATTTTGAATAGCACAGAAGTAACTAGAGTGAGAAGTGGTAGTCTTCTGTCAGGTCTCCCAGTCTACTGCTTTGCCAGCACTCTGTAATACTGGTTCAGATATTTTCATGTATACATATTATTTGTATTTTTTAAAGCATCCATTGCATCTAATTTTTCATTTAATGGACTTGTTGAGATGTAGGTCTTACCCTCACCTTCCTCCTAAATTGGTTCAGAATCAATTGAAAATTTATCATGCGGTGGAGATTCAAGAAGTAGTCTGGCATGCACTGGCTTTTGAGTATGTCACTGGAATCACTGCCATGACTGGATGAGTCCAGGCTGGCATACCTGCTGGGCTCTCTCCACCTGACCAGGGCAACAGAGCTGAAAGGGAGGGAGCTTGGAGGAGCCGGGCTCTCTGTTGAGCGTCCTTTCTCTGGATCACCAGTTAGACCAGATGACACTCTTCAGGGAGGATGAGATGGGGGCACACTGTGCCAGGTGTATTCTGGGAGGTCAGGGACACAGTGGGTCTTTTTATATTAGCACACTGTAAAAGATCTGCTCTGAGTTTTATTTGCTGCATAATTTTCTAATTCGTGGACATAGGATACCTTCTAGGACTTTTTATGTGCACATGCAATAGTGTTTCTTGGGTTCCTGATAGTGTGCACTTAAGATCCTGATGGTGTGTGAGTGCACTTAAGCTTATCTCTTTGCTATTTTCAGTAATTAGGAGTAAAATTTTCAGGGTCAAGCTAATAGTTTAGGGCAGGAAAACAGTTCTTTTGAAGTTGTTGGTGGGTTTGAGGATTCTGGTTTTTTTTTGTTTTTTTTTTGTTTTTTTTTTTTTAGCTTAAGGGTTGGTTAAAGTTTTAATTCTTTTATTTATTTATTTTTTTGTGTATGAGTGTATTGCCTGCATGTTTGTAAGTGCACCTGTGTCATGCATTGCCCTTGGAGGTCAGAAGAGGGGGTCAGAGTCCTCTGAAATTGAAGCTGAAGTTGTTAGCTACCACGTAGGTTCTGGGAATTGAACCCAGGTCCTTTAACCATGTTGAAGTTTAACTGAGGTAGATTAAGTATTCCAGCTCCAAGTGAAGCCTAAATTTATTGATACAAATACATAATATTTGTAGAACATTAATTTAGATTTAAGTATTTTTATTGTTAAAAGACAACAGTCATTTTAAGAAACAAGCACTCCTCTACCTGTGAGTAAACTTAAAGTCCATTTTGCTGATGAATGGAGAAATAGATCAGAAAAGATGATGATAGCCTGTTTGCTTCCTTTCTATTCTTTTGAGATTGTCTTGATGGGTACCTGAAGTTGGCTTTGGAATGCTCAGGTAGCCAGTGCTGGTCTTGAACTTGCAGTCTTTACTGCCTTAACCTCTGGAGTGCTGAGATTATAGGCTGGGGTAATCAGTATTCATCATGCCTAGCCCAAGATACATTACTGTGTGTGCACATAAAAGAAAAATCCTTCTCAGTTACAATCTGCTAGTGAGGGAAGGCACGGAGGGCACGAGAATCAGAACTGGGGCAAAACCTGTGTATTTTTTTTTTTATTTAGTGCTTGTTGGTAAATTGTTATTTTAAGTGAACATATAAAACATTGTTTTTCCTGTAGCCTGAAACCTTCACTCTGGATTCTTGAGTAATTGAGCCTGGAAGAGCTGACTTATAATAGACGCTAATCCTAATCCTTCTCAGGATTTAGGTTTGCCCCATTTTTCCTGTGTAGCAGCTATGTAGCAGGCAGAGCCAGAGTGCATGAACTGTGGTGGTCATTGGAGACACGAATAGACATGGTTTCTTTGTAAAAAAAAAAAAATGGTCCAGTAATAATTATACACATATGCAGATACTAAAAGCAGAGAGATCTAAAAGGTCATGCCTCTTAGCTAGCAGATCAAAATGGTGAATAAAGTAAGGCACCAAACTTGAGGTGGTTTGGATCTCAGATATGAGTGTGCTTCGCACAAATACAAGAAAAATAGATATGTGAAACTTCTAGCAGGAAGCATTCATCAATCAGAAAACAGTTTTTAAAATTGGTTGTCTTAAGATGTCTGCCTGTTTACCAAAAACATACTCCTGTTGATGAGTAGGATTTGGTGAAAGGCAGACATTATCCTGGGCTCTGTGAAGAAGCAGGTGCTAGAGGAGCTAGGGAATTAAATTTTACTGGAGATGTTGTTTTGAAGTGTTCATTTCCCATGGACTGAGGAGATAAGTACATTTTCCTGTGTTCTGTAAATACTTGTGGAAGAGAAAGGCTGTTGCCAGACCAGATACTCTCAGAAGGAACTCTTCCTTCATGTGTCCATATCGAGGGGGAGGGAGCAGCTTACCCAAGGCTCTAGGCACACTATCATTTCTGGACACTGTCGTGGGCTTTACAGCTAGGTAAAAGTGACTTGATTCTATAGGTCTGACCTCAAAGCATTCGTGAACAGACTAACCCCATTTTTTTGCACTTGACAGTCTACAGAAGCTTAGGTTACTACAGTCTTTTTTTTTTTTAAACCTTTGAGTATGCCTTAGGGTGGCTTGTGAACAGGAAGTGGTCCTATAGGGAAGATGAATGGGGTGTATGATGAGCAGTGCCCCCTCTGGCTCTTTTCTTGTTCTCACTGCTCTTGTGGGGGAGGTAGATTGGGGCTTTCTATCACTGAGGAGCCTTCCCCCACTTGGGCAGACATAGTTAGGCCCCAGGCAGGGTGGTGGCTGGATGTGGTCTGGTTAGGCCTGCTGGGGATCTGGCTCTGGGCTGAGGCAGCAAGCAGGTTCCCAGAGTCCAGGGTCTGTCCAGTACTGGCTCTTGGCAGGAGTCCATTTGGGTGATCTAGAAATATATCACCCAGGGAATGTTTACTATTCTGAAGCCTAAAAGTGACCTGGCACTTGGTTCCAGCTGCTCATTGCTCTTAGCAGAGCTGTGACTTCAGTGACCAACAGCTCTTTTCTTCCCTTATCCCTGTCCAAATGACTGTGATTTTTGCCTTCACTCCTTACACAGGACCCCTTTGTGGCTGTAGGACACTTCCCTATTCCTCCTCTCGCCTTTTCTGGCTTTTGGAACATCATAGAGGAAAGGAGAGCTAGGTTTCCTCCCTGCCTAGGGTGTCAACTTCTTTTCCCAGCCCCTTGACTAGACCCCAGGGCTAGAGTCTTTAGGGTGGCATCCAGTGGTGGCTGAGAGCTGGCTTTTCTCCTGGCTGCCTGGGTTCCCTCACCCTTTGACTGTACACACCCAAACAGTATGTGTCATCTGAACACTTACTGAATGGTTGTCTTCGTGAAAATTCTGAAAGAGACAGAACAGCTTTTCCATTCTTCAAATGAATGAAATAGCTTAGCAGTTGCCCAGACCACAGAGCTGGAGTTTACTTGTTGAATGCAGGCTTTCACACTGTCTCTCTACAACCTTCAACCAAGGGCTAAGGAAGGAGGAGTGTGGGGTCTGGAATTCATACCTCACTTTAGAGACCTTGGAAAGTCAGTGTACCCAAGCTGCGGCTTTTCCCATCTGTTAAGTAGAGAATTATCTTTGTCCTACCTATCATTCAGGGTTATTTTGAGAACTAAATGGCATATCTGATGCGTCTTGTGCTGAAGTGAGGCTGCCCAGATGCAACCCTCAGTTTTGCCTTTCACCTCACTTCTCTGCCTCCATTTTCTTGTCTGTGTGAGGCAACAGTGCCCCTTCTTCAAAGTCCTTGTTAGGACAGTAACTTAGTTCATGCAAGGGTTTAAGAACAGGGCTTAAAGCATGGTGGTCAGAGTTACTGAATTGTTAAGTTGTCATGCCTTTACTGAATGGCAGTTTATGCTTCCTGACAAGTGCTATCTGAAGGTGGTGGAGTCATTAGCAAGTTGCAGAAGCAAGGGAAGTTACTCTGAGAATTTCGTCTTGAAGTCAGACTTCGCTAGGCATCCCCTAATCCAAATCCTCCCTTCCCTTGTGCTCCATAGCTTTAGTTGTCAACTTGACATAGCTGGGTTGAGGGACCCTCAGTGGGGAATTACCTCTATTGAACTGGTCTGTGGCTATGTCTGTAAGGCATTTTCTCAACTGTTGAGTGACATGGGAGCACCCAGCCCACTGTGGTCAGTGCCATCCCTGGGCAGGTAGTCCTGTATTGTATAAGAAAGGAGGTTGAGCATGAGCCAGGGGAGCAAGCCAGTAAGCAGTATTCCTCCATGGCCTGTGCTTCACCTCCTGCCTCCAGGTTCCTGCCCTGAGTTCCTACCTTGGCCTCTCTCAGTGATTACCTGTGACCTGGGAGATGTAAGCCAAATAAACTGTTTCCTTACCAAGTCGGTATTGGCCAGAGTGTTTTTGTCACAATAGAGAAGCTATCTAGAACCACCCACCCCCCTCAATTCTAATTGCTATCCCTCAAGGCTTGTGTTAGGACTGATGTGCTTGTTTGTATTTCACTCAAGGGTACCGGTTGAGCTGACTTTGCCTCATGAAGTGAACAAATGTGATAATTTCTCTTGAAGGAGCATCGTTGTGTAAGAGCAGAAATTTTAGGTGATTTCTAGGAGTATTTTTGGAGAGGGAGTTGAAATTAAGCTCACTTCTATTTCTGTTGTGATTTGGGGTTGTGGGAAGTATTCACTCATATAATGGCTGGGTTTATTTCTGGAGTATAACATTTTCTCAGAAACTAAAACCCATTTTCTCTCTGTAATATAGTACTGACTGGTAACACTAACCACTTTGTAGTACATGTCACAGGGTTCACAGGGTTCGCTCTTTAGCCATAATGTCATTTGGAAGTCAGTGTGTGTTGTGCCTTAATTTTTGCTTGCTCCAAATTTTTTTTTTTTTTTTTGCAGGAAGCCTGCGGTCTTGCAGTTCTTCGGACTGCTTTAGTAAAGTGATGCCACCAAGGAAAAAGAGAAGACCTGCCTCTGGAGATGACTTATCTGCCAAGAAAAGCAGACATGACAGGTACAGTGCACAGACCATAAACTCAGACGGAAGCCATGCATGTTGGAGGTGCATAGGTCTACCTAATGCAGTTTGGGCCTTTGCATGCAAGTGCTGACTAGAGTACTGTTTTGCTTTTGTGGGTGATATTTCAAAAGCATAATTATTTAACAATACTTGTTTTGTGTCTGGGTTTATAAAACAAAAATAGGCTATTTGAGTTCTTCAAAATTACTTTTCTCTTAATCCATTGGTCCTCTGAAACTTCAAAGCCTTGCTGTCTGAGCCTGGCAAAGCATGTTAGAATTGGAGTCTGTCCTCTGGAGAGGGTCTCACTGACTGCAGCCATAGGACCAGCCTGAGGCACCTGTCCTCAATGTCTGCACCCACCCAGAATATCAGTCCAAAGCAAGGTTGCTTAAACTACTTTCCTTCCAGAAAAGCCGGCTGTTCATGTTGGTAATTCCAGTGGACTGTTAAATGTTCCAGTGAACTGTTAAATGTTCCACTGGACTGTTAAATATCCCAGTGGATCATTAAATATCCCAGTGGGTCATTAAATATCCCAGTGGGTCATTAAATATTCCAGTGGACTGTTAAATATCCCAGTGGGTCATTAAATATTCCAGTGGACTGTTAAATATTTATCTCAGGTCTTTGTTGTTTCACCCTGATTTTCACCCCTTCCATCCTGGCTCTCTGCTCTGTAAATCCAGCAGTTTAGATGCACTTTGTTTCTTTCTTGCTGTGATGCTTCATTTGCTACTATTCAGTTGAAGAAGCAGAGAGAGAGAGACAGGCTGCAAATGTGAATGTCATGTCAGTTAATATCTCAGACTAGAAAATGTTGTTTAAAAGAAGACAGCAGTGGTTTATAAGATAATCACCACCTGTCTTCTGGTCAGTGATTTTCAATTTTATGCAACCAAGTAACTGGAGTCTATTGTTAGGGAATTATTAAATTCTAATAATTACATAGCATTTTGTGTTGTATTTTCTTCAGTATAAGTTAGTATAAAATAATTTACTATAACAAAACCAGATTAAAAATTGGCAGTTCAGTTGAAGTTTTTCGAACTTTTTTCTTGGCTTTTTAAAAAAGAACTTTGTTGACATATTCGAAGGTGATACATTTTAAGAATATACTTAAGGCTGGAGAGATGGCTCAGCAGTTAAGAGCACTGACTGCTCTTGCAGAGGACCCGGATTCAATTCCCAGCACCCATATGCTGGCTCACAACTGTCCATAACTCCAGTTCCAGGGGAATGTGACAACCTCTTCTGACCTCTACGAGCATTGCACGATACAGGTGCACCTATACATGAGGCAGTATGCTCATACACAAAATAAAAAAATAAAAAGAATATATTTCTTAAAAATAAAAAATATAATTCAGTTTGTTTAGTTTTTTAAGTTCACTGAATTGTGCAAACTGTCATTTTCATCCACTGTTGGAACATTTCCATCATCCCGTTCCATCCCCATCCTTGCCGTCCAGGTAGTCACTCCAGTTCCTGCTCTCATCCCCAGGCCACTCATCTACTTATGTCACTGTGGATTTACCTTTCTGGGCATCTTGTGTAAATAACTTGTATCATTTCCTTTCTATTAACTGCAGAATGATTTTTCTATTGTATACCCAAGAACTATAGATTTTTGACTAATTACAGGCTTGGACTAAGCTAGGAATGTCTGGTCTCAAGATGAAAGCATGACCTTCTGTTTGAATCCTTGGCCAATATCAACCTATATTTCTAGCTAGTATGCCTACTTTTATTGGAGAAATATAAACTTGTGATTTGTAGTTTCAATAAATTAACACCTTATACATAACATACTCTTTTTTTTTTATATGATAGGTCCCAGAATTTCTAGTTAGAGGTATGCACAGATAATCTAATTATTATCTAGATCATGAATAAATAAATGTTCATGAACAAATTCACTAAAATAGAGGATTATATGTGGCTTTTTATATTATGTGTTATATAAAAGCTATATGCCCAACTATGAGTGTATATCTTAATCACAGTTTTGGAGCCACTGCCTCCTTCCCTTCTGCTTGTAGGGAAGCTTGTTGTCCTCAGCACCTGCTAGGAGATAAGCACTTCCTGCCAAGTTTCAGGAGGCAGCTGCTCTGCTTCCTGACTCCGTTCTGCGGCCTAAGCTGTTGCCACTCTACTGAGGTGATGGTCAACCCTGGCTAGGGTTCTGTTCTCTTTCCTGGGGCTTTCAGGGTTCTGCTAATTGATGAGCCACCCAAGAGACCTCTTTCTTTTTGACATTCATCTGAATTAAATATTTGTCCTGGAAGCTTGGACTTCAGTTGGCATTTCTTCTTACTTGCTTAATTTTCTTGAGTTGCTTAGTATTGACCAGTTCTTCCTTAGCCCATGTTCTGTGTTTAACCTGATTTATATGACACAGAAGTCAGGAGAGCTGAATGGGAGAGATTATTATTTTAGGATCATTACCACTTCATTTCTTGCCATATTTTATTTGTAATCTTTCTGGTTAGTGAGGTAGAAGAGAGTTTATCAAATAACTTTTATTTTTATTGATTATTAATAAAATCTGTAAAGTGCTTACCATTTCATTCTATATTAAGGCTATATTTCAACATGAGTTATGAAATAGCTGAAGTTTGCAAATGTGGAAAGTAAAATGCTTAAGATACCCTTAGAATACTGATTGTATAGGTGTCTGGTTTAGGCAAAAGTAAAAATTATCTGCTACTTACAAGAATGTAGTGTTTCTAAATAAATAAAACCGTCTTTTCAACTTTTAGCATGTATAGGAAATACGAGTCAACTAGAATCAAAACCGAAGAAGAAACCTTCTCAAGTAAGAGATGCTTGGAGTGGTTCTACGAATATGCAGGTGGGTAATGGCTTACTGTGTAAACTGATCCTTAGGAAAAGAAGAAGCACCTTAGAAGAAGTTAAAGAACTTTACAATGTGCTCTTTTCGGGATTGGGAGGCGGGGAGGAGGAAGAGAGGAGGAAGAAAGAGAGAACATGAGTGTTGGAGAGAGAGAAGAGGGGATGGGAGGGAGGTAGTTGAAGCCAGTCACTGAATGTCCTATTTATAGCCAGAAGCTAAGCCAAAGAATTCAGAACATGAGAAGGGAAGTGAAAAGATGAAATGCACTTGGGAGAAACACTTTGGATTGCTAGGAAACCTATTTAGAATGCTGATAATGGGTAATTATTTGGTTTAAGTACTGAAGTTAAAATAAGCTTTGTTGCTTTGAACTCTTATGTAGTGCAGTGGAATTTCTTTATGTTAAATATCTATTTAAAAAAATCATTTGGCAGAAAATGTTTTGTCATTTAAAACTATATTAAAAATGAGCTGTATTTTTGCAATTTGCTTTAATTGGTTATATAACATAGTATTGTAGCCTAGGGCATGTAACTGTATGGTATCTAAAGAGAAAAAGAAAAAATTTCAGATAAAGTTTGGCCCAAGATTTTTTGGCCTTCTCCCTCACTTTGTTTTAGGCCCATTCAACTTGACTGTTGAACCTATACACTATCAACTTGACTGTTCAAAAGCCTTCAGACTCATTTTCCTGTTATCAGTCCTGGTTCTAGACCTGGTTCTTGACCTGGTTCTCTTTCTTAACAACCAACTGAAGAGCTCATACATGCCACTCCCTACCATTATCCCCTTTTTACCTGAGGCTTAAAAATTCCTGCTCCCTACAGGCTATATGACACATAACTCACCACCCCTCTGCTAAAATGCCTTTCTCTACTTTCCTGTAGGACCGTAACTGTTCTGTTTAGTTCTTACTGATGATTTGTTGACCAGTGAAGAATCTGCATCAGGTGCCACTTATTTAGAGTAACTGTCTCCTTTGTGCTTCCACAGGACTTTGGTTATAACTTACTTCTCTGGTTTGAGTATGAAAGTGAGGATTTCCATATTTCCCTTGTGTTCACTCTACCCTTTTTTCTTATAAAAACTTTGCCTCTTTGGAAGCAGAGATTGATCCAGGGGGAAGACATTTTCTGGGGATTTTTCAGGTGTAAGCCGAGAAAAGAGCATCTTTTCTTCTGGTGGTAGACTTGCAAGGACACAGTCTGACTCCTTTAGTTCTCCCTTGAATTTAGAATTTCTGTGAGCCACCTCAGCACTTTTCTGGTAAGTTCCCCTGTTTGTTAGTTCCAGTTGGCTTTTGTTTACAGGGCTCTGGTTCTGGTACGTTTCTCTCTCTCTCTCTCTCTCTCTCTCTCTCTCTCTCTCTCTCTTCTGTTTCCATGCTTCATTAGAACAGAGATCTCTGAAGATACTTTGTATCTCTAGTAAAGTAGCTGAAGCTTTTCCAGGGGCTCAGAAAATGGGACTGAGTGGATGTCTAGGTCTCATATTTTTGTTGCTTTGATTAAGATCTTTTGATTTTCTGTATTGATTCACATTTATTTCTATGAAAATGTTATAAAATGGAAATTTTAAACAGATAAAATCCAGCACAGTAGCACAGCCATTTCAAATTTTTTTTGATATGATTTCCTTTAAAGACAGGTGAAGTGGCCATTTTTTAAAAAGAGAACAGGACAGATTGTCTTCTTGCTTGCTTTTCTGTGTCTGTTGAAAGGTCACATTTGGGGAATAAAAATGAAGCCACGTTATTTGGGTTCCTTGGGGTGCCTGCTGGGGTAATTCTTCGTAACTCATCCCTCAAAGGAATTTGTGTGGATGCGGTTAACTCCCTTTGCTCTCTCTTCCCATTTTAAGCCTTTTCTTCTTCTTGTGTGCCCTATCAGTAGGAAAAATGGCTTCAAATTGGGATGAACTGAAAGCCCCAGTTGGCACCTGCTTTCCCTTTGAATATCTCAGCCACATGAATTGAAAGTGCAGGTCACAGGCTATGAGAGGAACTGGGATGGACTACGGGAAGTGTTCTGTACAATGCGTCTGGGAATGTAGTGTGAGGTTCCAGGAGGAGGGCCTGAACATTACACACATTATTTTCTCTGAGAGCAAGCCAGTTGGTTTGTGCTGAGGGTGAGCACTCTATCCCCGCCTTTTAACCTGGAGTGATAGTGCTTAGTTAGGACGGATTGACCTGGATGGATCTTAAGTTCTTTCTAGAGTTCTCAGGTCTGCTGCTGCTTCATTGCTACTACAGCTGGAGCCCACCGTGGCTTTGCACATACTAAAATTTAGTTCCTCACCTTTTCAAACCCTTTTCAACTCAGTTGCTGATTCCATATCTTTGATAATCCCCCTCCTATGGAACTTCTTCCTCCCAATCTCTGTGGTTCGAGGTTTATTCCCTTTTCTACTTTGGAACAGTTCTACGTAACTTGAAATAGGATTGGCTTTGGGTAGAGGCAGTGTTTAATTTCATTTCCATCTGAAAATGGAAACAGTTTTTTATTCTAATAAAAAATAACCAATTTTGCATTAACAGTTTATTGGGTACCTTCCATATTCTGAGGTATATGTGTAAGGAAAAGAAGTCAAGGTAATAGCACATTGATTTGGCACTATGTCAGTAAAGTTCTGTCCATAGGTGGTGTTAGTTCTGCAGCTATGTAAGCCCTGAGCCTCTGTTTTGAGTTAAGTTCTTTAATAGTTATCTCTTCATGAAAATGAGATTAGAGACCAGAAAGAGATGCTAAAGTCAGATATGGACATCTATAAAAAAGTGCTAAAATGATCTTTTTGGAAGATCTGTTGAAAACCTACTAAGGAGGCCTTGTGGGAGCCCCTTTTGCCTGAGTAAAGGGGCCTGATGTACTTAGGAGAATTTCAGGTCTTGGGGCATCATGAAAAAGTAAAATATGTTTTGTTAGAAACCCCTACTTAAGGGAGCAGGATGGTGGGAACATCGCTTCGCTTTTTAGATTTTGTTCATTGTCTCCCTTTCTAAATTTACGTCCAGTGACTACGCAAGGCAGTCCATTGCTCATTATTTGAAATACAAATGTTTTGTTGTTTTTAACCATCTCTCCAAGTCACTTTTAGACAACGTTGTGTGATCCAGTGGCATATTCTTGGCATAGTCTTCCTTGGCAAATGTTATTACCTTAATTCTAGTAATCCTATTATCTTAATTAATGAATTGATAAATTTATGGTAAAATATAGCCAAGATCCCAGTGAATAATGTGATTACAACTAAAATGGAATATTTGCATGGGGAAGATAATAAGAAAAAGCAAAGTCTAGATTTTAGGTAATGTTTATTGACAAGCTATATCTTAATATATGTGGAATATAGTTTTGGCAGTAAAGCATTGCAAACTATACTTTGAAATCGTGTCTTTTATAATACACAGAGAGGTGTTTTATAAGCAACACAGTGAATATACACAAAGGAAAAAGGCAGGGATGACTTTGGTTGTCACTGCAGACCTTTTGTAAAGACTCACTGTGTGGCGTTCACTTCTAGTACAGCTAACAGGCGAGTAAGTTGAGAACTATCATCTTTGTAATGAATGTGGACAGTACAGTCAGCTTTGAGGTTCCAGAGGATCCGAGCAAGCTGATCCATGCAGGGCAGGTCCACGGGCCTGCCAGGTGTGGGTGAGGTGGTAAATTCACTAGTAGGCTGCAATACAAAAACCTTTTAAAATGAGGAAGAGTAGGAACTAGAGGGGAATAAAAAAAAATCAGTATCTATAGATAGCATCTGTTCCCAAAACTGAAAGAGCAGCGAAAGGGGACTAGAAGGTGTTTCCTTATTAGGGTAATTTTTCAATCTTTCAGACTCCATATTGGCTAATAAAAATGAGTAGATGTACAGGTACAATCACACAAGGATTACCAGACACTGACAAATGCAGTGGTACAGGAAAAGCGTGAAGTGGTATGTGTAGATAAGCTTGAAAATTTCTACATTGTGTGTGTGTCTTCATGTAGTACAAAGGCCTGGGAGGATGCGCACCTGATTGGGAAGCAAAGGGAGTTGCGGCTCTACTTATACAGTGTCTTCTGTCCTGAATGTTTTATTCACATAACTGTATTAATGTGTCATACATGCAGTAGTACGTACATTGTGAATAAGTGCACACAGGCCAAAACTGCAGTACATCCAAGGGTCAGCTCTTAATGTCTTCCCTTTTAAGTCACAAGTGACAGAAAGATGCTGACTCTTTTTTTTTTTTTTTAAACCATTGTTTGGAAGTTCTTAGCTAGTGCCATTAGATAAGAAAAAAAATGAATATGAATATTGGAAAGGAACAGGCAAAAATGGCTATTCACCAAGGATGAAATTATTAAATTTGAATTTCCGGGAGGGCCAAAGAGAATAACCTGAACAAACAAGATTATGTCACTTGTGTGTGTGTGTTCCATACAGAGATTTCTGTAGAGGGCTTTGGGAAGGATGCTTAGAGAAGCTTTTAATAAATGGTTATCTCCAGGGAGTAGCGAGAAGGTAAATTTGCCTTTTAAACATTTTTTATCTTCATGGTTACATGAAATTTTGTACCATGTACTAATGTACAGCCCCCTGCCCCTTTAACTAGATTTAATAATGGTCAAGATAAGAAAATTAAGGATATATGAGAAAATAATAGACAAAAAGAAAATCCTAGAAAAAAGTTGAATGTAAGGAAGAAAACATTTTTTACTGTTGTTACAAAATAGCACATGGCAGCGTGGGGAGAAAGCATTCATTTGTTGAGGTTGAAGGAAGCAGCTGAGTGTGGGTTTTCAGAGGCGCTACAGCCAGATGTGGTGGCACACACCTTTAATTAGAACATGTGAGAGGCAGAGGCAGGCAGATTGGGTCTGTAATAGTGAGTTCCAGGACAGACAGGGCTATATAGGGAGACCCTGTTTCAAAAAGACTTAAAAAAAAAAAAAAAAAAAAAAAAGGGGGAGGCGGGGAGGAACACAGATTCAGATCAGAAGCTGAGAAATGACACATGACACTAGACTTTGCAGCTTGTGCTCTGGGTGCTGCTCATGTTTGTTCTCAGTTGAGAAGAGCCACCATATGCTTTTATTATGGTGCATTTATTTGTATTGAGATTGCTCCTATGCTTTTTCTCCCAGTGGAGGGCAAGGGACTCTGGTATACCCACCCACCCTGCCCTTTGTACCCCAAGTACTACCTGATGTTGATGAAATGAAATGGAGACTTGGGAAGATGGTAGGTTCTGCTGGACTCAACGACCTGCTGGGTCTGGAGACTAAAGGAGGGTTGTATAGTGAGCCGCATATTACAGTTCCATCCACTCAGTAAATGCTTGTGAAGCAATGTCAGGTGGTGTGCTGAAGTTGTAGGAATAATAAAATGGGTCTTACTTTTTTGAGGAGGGGAAGGAAGATGGCCAGCACTTGTGAATGCAGTGTCCTGAATGGGAGAAAACCATTCCCAACATTTTGTGGGGCCATATGGGCTTGGTTATTGTGGCCTCTACATGTGGATATTAGGGAGATTCTCAGATTTCAGTCTCAAAGGTTGAATGAGTTGTCCATAGAAGAAGGGGAAGGGTGAAAAAAGGGATGAGAGGAGGATAGGCTGATGTACAAAGTGCAGGATGGTGTTGGGTATGTATAGGGCTGAGCGAAACCACTTATGGGTGTTTCTGGAGCTTAATTTTATAAATGCATTCATTCATTCACTTATTCCTTTTGAGTTTTTGAGACAAGGTCTCATGTGGCCCCTGCTGGTTTTATACTCTCTATAGCTGAGCTCCTCATCTTCTGCCTCGACAATCATGCTGGCGCGTGCGTGCGTGCGTGTGTGTGTGTGTGTGTGTGTGTGTGTGTGTGTCTTACAGAGGATTAAACCCAGAGCCTTGTACCTGCTAGGCAAGTATTTTGCCACTGACTATATCCTCGGGCCCCTTATTTTTATTCATGCAGCAATAGTTACAGATGGATGTATTTCTGAGAAGCTCTCTTTGCAATTAGAAGAAGCAAAGCTGAAAAAGAAGGGGAGCTACTAAGTCAGAGAACCTTAGTTGACGTGCCAAGACTTGAATTTAGACTTTAGGCAGTAGAGAGCCACTAGAGGATTTTAAGTCGGTGCAGGATTTGTGCTTGAGGTGGACCCCTTAGTGGCTGTCTACAGAGTGGGTCAGGGGTCTCAGTGAGAGAATAAGGCTTGAGCCATGACTGTATAGGAGGGGTACCATGAAGTAACAACCAGAAGGTAGATTGCAGAACAGTTGGTAGTCAGGTGCCTGGTGAAAGGAAGCAGGGAGGGTGACCCCCAGGCTTGTTTCTGATGAGCAGACTTGGCATGGATTGGTGATGACCTCTCTTTCTGGGAGGTGCTTCTGGAGAGTGAAGTTAAACAGCCATGTGCTTGGGAAGAAGGTAAGTCTAGTTATGGCAATGGAGTGAGCAGGAGGTCAGATAGCTAGACAGTCCACAATTAAGAGGGGCAGAATGTGCTGGCATGAGAGCTGGGGAGTAGGAAGCTTGGCTATTTGAGAGCTTCTAGAGAGTCTAGAGACTAGAAGTTTGAGGATGGCATTTCACATCCAGTTTAACAAGCAAAAGAACTCATAGAGAAGTGGAAAGAGGAAAGGAAGGAGAAAACCAGATGAGGCGATTTCAGAAGCCATGGGAGGAGATGGCTTTGTGAGTCTAGAACTGCTTCAAATCGTCAGAGATCATAGAGGGGTCAGATAAAATAAAGGTGGAAGGTGTCCTGTAGACTGGACAGTTAGGGAGTTACTGGTGACTTTGTCAGAAGAATTTGGGGGAAAGATAGAAGTGGGAAAAAGCAAATTTCAGTAGTTGAAAAACAAGTGTGACATGAAGTGAGGCAGGCAGTTTCTTCAGAAAGAGAGTTGGAACTGAAGTGGAAAGGGGGACTTTACTGACTGTATCAAGACAAAAATTGGTCTGGAGAGATGGCTCAGCAATTAAGAGCATTTGCTGCTTTTCCAGAATACCTGAGTTCAGTTCCTAGTACCCATGTTTGGGGGCTTAAAAACTGCCTGTAACTCAAGCTCCAAGGGAATTGGACACCACCTTCTGGCCCCTAGTGGCATCCATACACACGTGATACACACACACACACACACACACACACACACACACACACACACGTAAGCAAAAATAAATCTTAAAAAAAAAAAGAACAGAGTGACATAGATAACCCTTGATACCTGCTGGGGTTGGTTCCAGGACCCAAGGGGACCAAAATCCACAGTACTGAAGTCTCTCATGCCAAACAGGGTAGTATTTGCCTATGACTTAAGAAAGTCCTCCAGTGTGCCTTGAGTCATCTCTAGATTATTTATAATACTGAATACATTGTAAATACTGTGTTAATAAATGTTTTACTATCTTTAGGAAATAATGATAAAGGAAAAAAATCTATACGTTTAGTACAGACAATTTTTTTTCAAATATGTTTTGATTCCCCAGTTGGTTGAAGCCATGGATGTGGAAATTCACCAGTGTGGAGGGTCAACTGTATGTGACTTTTTTTCTATGTAAGAAACATTTATTTTCCTATTAATTTCATAGAGAATAATATGTGGTTCTTTGCTAGGTACCTAAAATTTACGTATCATGTGTATCATTGCCAAATAGAAATACAGTTTTAAAATACATTAAAAAGCAGGAGTTGAGGGGCTGGATGGGTGGCTCAGCGATTAAAAGCACTGGCTGTTTTTGCAGAAGACCCAGATTCACATCCCAGCACCCACATGGTAGCTTACAGCTGTCCATAACTCCAGCTCCAAGGGATCTGATGCCCTCTTCTGACCTCTGAGGGCACTGCATGACATGGGTGCACTTACATACATGCAGGCAATACATGCATACACATAAAATAAAAATAATAAAATATTTTTAAAAAGCAGGAGTTGAGCCCAAATAGCCTTGTCCTTAGAAGTGACTGCTTTATTCCAAAGGTCGAAAGACATGATGGTGAGCTGGTTCAAATGATACTAGAGTAGAACCCTTCAAGATTTAACCAACTTAAGGATTTAATTAAATCTTTTTCAATTTGTACTTGATTTCTTCTGAAACGATTTGAGGCCTTTCCCCCTTCCTTATTTGCTACTGCTGGGGTGATGATAATGTTTTTTATTCATCTGAGATTGCATTTCACTGCAGGCACCGATGATGTGGTGGGTCCCGAAGGCATGGAAAAATTCTGTGAAGACATTGGTGTCGAACCAGAAAATGTAAGTCTACCTTAGTGAGTAGTGTGAAGCAGTTACTTTTCTTTCTTAAATATTTTGTCCTTTAACAAAGCAGTGAGGAAGCAATTACGTGTTGGCTTTTATGAGGCCACAGAAGAAATAAGTTCCAATTCTGGTTTGATTTGTAAGTGGGTGTCCCCCCCCCCACCTTTAGTGCTAGGGTGTAACTGTGGTCATTTACCCCCCTCTGACTTAATTTCTTGTGTTTGAAAGGTACAATCATTAAGTGATTAAACTTGATGTGTAATTGTGGGCACATAAACCCACAGGGACAGATCGTACTGGGGGTCTAATCACTATGTGCTGTGCTCCTTTGGCCCCCTCAGTACCTGTTCCAGCTTAATGTAGATCTCCAGACTTAGAATAATTATTCATAAAGACTTGAGTAGGTGGTAATTATCATGAATTTTCCACAGGTCTTTCACTTCCAATTGAATTTACTTAAAAAGTGACTGCTTTTTAGTGTAAAAGCACTAAATATTTCCCTTAGAATTTTAGGGTCTCCCTGTAACCTCAACTAACCTGGAACTTGCTATGTAGACGAGGCTGGTCTCACTTTCACAGAGATCTGCCTGCCTCTGCCTCCCGAGTGCTGGGACTAAAGGCGTATGCCACCATGCCCAGCTTTGCTTAATTATTTTTGCCTAATTCTGAGCATCATGTTATTGTTGAATTTTCTTTCTTCCTTGTTCCCACATAATATCTATTACTCTAAAATGAAAAATTATGTTTATGCCATGCCCTGGTTTATAAGTGATAGTTTAATTTTATGCTAGCTTGTCAGTATAACACCTATGCCATAGATCCTAAATGAATTTGTGGTCTGAAAGAGATCTCATGGTACTGTCCCCTTTATTTAGACTTTTGAAAATATCTGGTGCCCATGGTGTATCTGTGTTTTTAAAGGAAACTGGGAATTGAGACTTTACTGTTTTCTACTTTTATTTTATTTTTTTACCTTTGCCCTTTCTATACCCCTGTTGTCTACTCCCTTCTCCATCTTGCCCAGATAAGAGTTAAAATTTCTAAACTACCTTCGGAATGTTTTTCCCTCCTTACATTGTTTATTTGTGTCCTGCTCTTTTTAAGGTGTACCAGTTGCAGTATTTTGATAAATTATTCACCTTGTCATAGAGGTTTAAGGGACATGCGGGTCAGTAGTATTTTACTTGGTGAGTCATGGGCATAGGGAGGATTGTCTCACTGACTTTGAGAAGGCAGCTTGCTATGGGAGCTGGGCCAGCCCAGCAGTTTTCACTAAGTGTTATCTAAGAGTGGAAGTGAGCTGGGACTAGCAGTGGATCTAGAGATTCTGCCCCAGGACAGCAGTGGTGAATGGTCAAAGAAATGGCAGCAGGGTGGGAGTGGCAGGGCAGGTGAGTGTGGGAAACTTGGGATTGAGCAGAAGAAGAGGAGGGATGAGGCGGGTATTTAACCTCAGAGGCAGAAAAGCCTGTTTCGGTGTGGGAAACCCTGATGCTGATTCTGACTGAAAAAGGAAGGGAACAGCTCCTCCAAGTTCCTCACCCCCAATAACAGTGCTCAAGAAAAAGACAGCTATTATTGGCATCCTCTTTTGGCAGTTAGGAGCCCTTTAGAACTAACTCTATTTCTGTAGGAATGGAAATAGTTTTGAAATGTAAAATCATGTTGAAGACTAAAAGACCAAATTCAGTATTTGTTCCAAGTATATATTACTGTACTTCAATTCTAAGATAACACCCGTAGAAGTTGTATTATTTTTATATCCTCAAGGAAAGTGTTGCTAAATAAACTACATTTCCAAAGCAAGCAGTGAGACCGATGCTTTTAAAACCTATCTTCCATGAGGAGCAAGCACTTTAAAGATATTTCAACCCCTACTTCCCAATATTCGTAGCTTATGAAATTTTATCAGACTCATAAAATTCAAGTCTGCTTTCATTTACAAAGGCAAAATTCTTAAAAGTGCTTGACTATCTTATTAGTTTAATCCAGGGAAAGTCTTGTTTTCTATCAGGTGGTTTCCCAGTGAGTAGCCACTGGCTAGTTGTAGTCTAGGTCTCAGTGGGCGTTTGTGTCCATGTTCATGTTCTTGCACCCTCACCTTTTATTAAACTTGTATTTTTGTGTAGCCATCTTAATCTTGTAATGGAAGGCTAAAGTGAGATGTAGCTTGAAAATATGCATAGTTTACATAAGAGAACATGGATTGAGTCATTTGAGTAAATAGATGTATCATGTCAGAATTACAAGGTGCTTCAGGGCTGAGGAGAAAAGCCATGAAGAATCCAAAGGATGTGTGGAGTGCCTTCTTTTTGGGAAATTTTCTTAGTAGCCCAGGAATCTCTTAAGTCACTATTTTTAAACCGTATTTAACAATTATGTTTTGACCTCTTTAAATCTAAAAACCCTAGTGGCTTTCAAAATTTCTACCTTTTAAATAAAAATATTTTGGTTTTTATCTCTATTATCAAATCCTTTGAATGTTTGTCAAACCAAAACGAATCCAGTTTTGAAGTTACTCTTCATATTTCAGTGATTAAACTGGAAACAGAAGCATTGCAGGATGTTGAAGTGTTTAGTTAACAAGAGCTGTTCATCATTTTCTGTCTTCTTAACAAATTTTTATTTATTATTTTTATTTTATATGTATGCATGTATTGCCTGCATGTATGTAAGTGCACCCATGTCATGCAGTGCCCGCGGAGGACAGAAGAGGTCGTTGGATCCCCTGGAACTGGAGTTACGGATAGTTGTTAGCTGCCATGTGGGTGCTGGGATTTGAACCTGGGTCTTCTGCAAGAGCAGCCAGTGTTCTTAACCGCCGAGCCATCTCTCCAGCCCCTCTCTCTGTCTTTTAACAGGTTGTTATGCTTGTCCTGGCTTGGAAATTGGATGCACAAAACATGGGCTATTTTACTCTACAGGAGTGGCTGAAAGGAATGACTTCCCTACAGTAAGTCCTAGGGCTGCAAATGGGGCATGGGTAGAAGAGTTTGGGTGTGGGCAGGATTAAGGGGACAGTGCTTTCCTGTTACCTCTCCCCTGGGAACTCAGGACCTGGTGATGTGTGAGCACACAGAAGCTGGGTGGTGTGGCAAGCCTCCCTGTGGTAGAGACAAAAAGACCACAACCCATTCTGAAGACTCTGATGGGGTGAATTTTGCTAATTAAAGTGTTTATATATAGTTTGTATGGAGAAGAGATGGTTTGTGGTCTGAAGTGTTTCTCTGTCTCGTAGAAATAGGCCTACTCTTTCCTATGCGTGAGCCACATGTATAATGTAAAAATTTCTATAGCCACATTTAAAAGTTGAAACATATAAAATTAGTTTAAATTTTTTAAAAAATTATTATTTTATGTGCATGAGTGTTTTGCTTGCATGTCTGTAGGTGTACCTGAGTCATACAGTGCCCAAGGAGGCCAGAAGAGGGCATTGGATTTCCTGGAATTGGAGTTACAGATGGTTGTTAGCCACCATGTGGGTACTGGGAACCCAACTGGGGTCTTCTGCAAAAGCATCCAGTGCTCTTAACTTCTGAGCCATCTTTTTAGCCCCCAAACTAGTTTTACTATATTTTATTTAACCCCAGATAACCAAAACATTATTATTCTGACATATAATCATACTTTTAAAAATTAAGATACTTTACATTTTCTTTCTTTATATGCCATCTTCAACATTGTGTGTTTTACATTTGCAGTCTACTTGGTTGATTTTATATTAGCTATGTTGGGCTCCCTTAGCCCAGAATAAGAAAGAAAATCGATAGCTTTCTGTATTTATGTTGTGCTTATATATGTTTCTCTCTCTCTCTCTCTCTCTCTCTCTCTCTCTCTCTCTCTCTCTCTGTGTTTAGAGTTTAATTCAAGAAGACAAATTCTATATAGGGGTTGAGGGAAAAGTGGGAAGGTGACAACATTTCTGATGATCTTAACGATGAAGCACTTAATGGCTTTGATCTAAGTACTTGGAATGTCTTATTTTTTTCTTTTTAACTTAACTTAGACGAACAGACTTTGAATTTTACTGGATTAAAGTTGGACATGAGATGGTTTTATGATTTTATTTAAATAATGACGGGCTTGTCAGTTTTAATATCATAATCCATTTGTTAATGCTGACATGCTTTGTCTACATTGTACTTAATAGTTCATGAAATCTTTTTACTCTTTCCCCATTTGAACCTCACAGCTACCTTGTAAAAAAAGACAGGTCAGGCTTTATGCTGGGCTTGTCACAAATGAGGAGTCTAAGGCTTAGAGGGACTGTACATGACTCATGAAGGCAGAGATGGCAAGAAAACCCACAGCCTCTGATTCCTAGTGCATTCTTCCCCTAACAGTATTGTCTAATGGTAGATGAGCTTAGGTGAAAGGTACTGTTGTGATTTGAATGAGAAATGTCTCCCACCCACAGTTTCAAGTTGTTTGAACATTTGTCCCCAGTTGGTGATGCTGTTTGTGGTGATCATAGAATCTTTAGGAGGTAGAGCTTTGCTGGAGGAAGTACGTCATTGGGGGTGGGCTTTGAGGGTTTATAGCCCACTCTACTGCCAGTTCTTGCTCTCTCTGCTTCCTGTGTGTGGTTGAAATGGGATCTCTCAGCTTCCTGTTCTGGCCAGCCACCTGTTGCCATGTCTCCCTGCCATGGTGGATTCTCCCTCTGGAACCATAAGCCAAAGTAAACTTTTCCATCTATACATTACTTTGGCTATGGTGTTTTATTACAGCTACAGAAAAGTAACTGATGCAGTCTCCAGCCCTTTACAAACACGCATTTCTTGTGTATGTGCTTTAGAATTTGGTGGTGATGTCCTTTGAAATCTTTGTACAATCTTGTCTGTTGTGTTGGGAAATGCTGCTTTGGGGTTTTGAAGCCTATTGACTAATTCATTTTCCTCAGTGCCTTTCCCTGTTGCTCTCTGAAGCAAGCATCTGATGGCTGTGGTTTTAAGTGTCCTTGTGATGATGAGTACATGGCTTCATCAAGATTTTGCCTTAAGGCCTCAAAGGAGATGCCCCTGTCTTTCAGGGCCATTTTCATTTGTATTTAGAGACTATGGTACCCATTTTTGGTATAGTTTTAGGCTATTTCTGACATTTATCTTTACCAAAAGCATCTTATTTGTGTGAGGCCTTGCTCGTGTGTTTGAGGGCTACCCTTCCTGAAAGAGGTCTGTATCTCCATTCTAAGGGGACAAGGGTCTCCAAAAATTCTGGATTGCAAACTGTCCTGTGGGGTGGTACAGGTGGTGATGGATGGGTATTGCAGGTGGTTGTGACCTCGTTCTTGAAATTCAGGGATCAGTGATATACATGACCACTGTAAATGTGGAATCTGCTGCCATTTTGTGATGTGAAACTCTGATACTGGTTTCTTTATCCAAGATGGAGGTAATCATTTAACATAGCCTTTAAGATTCTTTATAGTTCTAACAGTGGAATCTCAAGTTTTTAAGAACCTTCCTCCAGCTTCCCTAGGTTAGCCATTTGTTTAACAAATATTTGAATGGCAATGATATGTCAGATGTCACATCCTAAGGAAGCAAAACCCCTGAACAAGACTGTTTTTTTCACCTCTCTTATCGCTTTGATCAAATACCTCACAAGAAGCAACTTAAAGAGAGGAGAGGTTTACTTTTGCTTATGGTGTAAGGAGGTACAGTCTGTCATGGTGGGGAAAGCTTGGCCCTGGGTGACTCAGTGGAGGTGGGAACATGTAGGATCCACTTTTCCCATCAAGGCTCCACCTCCCATGTGTTCCATAGCTTCTCAGAACTATGCCACTAGCTTTTTAGAAACACAAGCCTATGGTGGACACTATATTTGGATGGTAACTTCCTTCTCTGGCTCCTCCATAGGCTCATAGCAACGCCATAATGCAAAGTACATTTAGTCCAACTTTAGAGGTCTCCATAGTCTATAGTTCCAACACCATTTAAAAGTACAAAGTCTCTTTTGGGACTCAGCACAATCAGTTAACTGTGGGCCCCTATAAAAATAGGAAAATAAGATATATTCTTCTAACTGGAAGTGGCATAGTGTAGACATATCCATTCCAGTAGACGAATGGATGGATAGCAGGTAATGATAGAACCAAAGTAAGATCACATTCCCAAATAAGCACCAAAGCTTGAAGCTCAAGGTGCAGTATCAGAGCGCTGATGGCATCATCCGTGTTTCAGTGGATTTGAATCACCTGCGCTCCAGCTCTGTGCCTGTACCACATGTGGCCTCTCTTGGGCCAGTTCTGCTTGTGCCTGTACCTTTATTCAGTGAAAATGCCCAATTTCTGGCATCTCCAATATTTGGGGATCTCCATTGCAAGTTAGGCTTCGCCTTCACGGCTTCATGCATTGCGCACTCTGGGGCTCCATGCTGGGATCCTTTCCTACTAAACATTATCTGGCTTCAGTACCCTTACAGAACCTTGGGGGAACTCTCCATAATTCCATAGCTCTTGCACTTTGCATGCCTGAAAAACCAACACCATACAGACCCCATCCAGTTTTGCTTCTGGCTCTTAGATGCACCCTTGGATCAGAGGTGCAGGAGCTCCCAGGTGCCTTTAGGCTGGACCTGGAAAACCACTTTCCTAGTGGCCCTGCTTCAACAGGATGCCTTGGAAGGCTCTTTATTCAGTTGCTTTCTTTTCAAAGAAAAGTTTGCAAGTGAATTTGCATTGTTGTATCCTAAAGCTGATCAGTGGGGTTTTTGCTTTCAAGGCACCTTTAGTATTGTACTGATACAAAGTCTGAGCTTCTCCTTAACAGCATTAATCTCTTAGAAGTTATAGCCAGTTGAACTGCACTCACTTGGGTTTCATATTAACCTCCACTTTAACAGAGTTCAAGCTCCTTTCCTCTCCAGACTGCACATTTCCGTCTACAACTCTAAACCAGATTCACACTTCTTGCACTCTCGGTACTGTACATGTGGGTAAATGCAACAAACTAACTGTTGGGTCCGCAGCCCAAATGTTACACTGCCTTGAACTTTCCTCTACCAGGAATTTAGACCATCACTATTGAATTCAACCTCACTCAAGCTTTTAGGACATAAGTAGAATGCTGCTGGATTCCTTGTCTTCTACAGAGTCCATTTCCCCAACATTCCTGTTTCCTTTGAAACTGTGTGAGCACCATAGTCCGGGTTGCTTAAAAACAATAGAGATTTGTTTCTCACAGTCTGGAGGAAGCCCCAGGCCAGCACACCAGCAGCTTTGTTGTCTAAGCTTTGTTGTCTAGGTAGGGTGGCCTTTTTGGTTCATCAGGTGGTGACTTGTGGCTCTGCCCTCACATGGACAAGCAAGCTTCTTTAAGGGGCTTTCATAAGGACACTAATCCCATTCATAAGGGTTTTAGGGAGTGACCCAGTCACTTCAAATGCCCCCAAAATTTAAAAATGTCATGTTTATACAATGTATTTTGATCATATCTATTCGCTGTCACCTCGCTCCAACTTCTCAGTGTCCCTCTTCTCCTTCCAACTGCATGACCTCCTCTTGTTGTTGTTATTAATAATCTGCCAGTTCAGTTAGTGCTTCATATGTGCATGGGTGAGGGGCCGTCCACTGGGGCTCGAGGCCCATCTTAATACAATTTCCTTGGGAGCTAAGATTTCAGTATGCATGTTGGTGGTATGTGTATTGGGAGGAAGCAGACAGATTGAGACCTTAGCAGTACCTTTAATAAAAATGATAGGCTTTAACAAAAGCTTGTTACCAAAGTGGGAATGTGCTAGAGCTGGAATGCCCTTAGGTGTGGAGCCATAAGTTGGAATGAATTTAGAAAGCTTGTTATCATACAGGGGAGTGTACTAGAATGGGGATACCCTTGGGTTTTAGGCCAGAGGTCAGAATGGGTTCTGTCACTTCCTTTCCAAACCAGGGGATAGAATGTTGGAAGCTGTGTGTAAAACTCATGGTGGCCTTAGAAAAGTAGCTTGGGGCTAAGTGAAAGGGTGCGGGCTCTTGGGAGCAGTGGGGGAAGCAGCCTCCGACTTCATAACATTTGAGCATCATCACACTGATTTCTGTTGCTTCTGAGTCTTTAGGGCAGTGACACTCAAATATGAAATGACTCCAGTGACACCTCTTAGAAATGTGATGCCATCACTCTCTGAATTCTGTGACTTTTAGTCTGCATGATACATAGAGGAGTGAAAATGTATCCACTTTCTAGAAAGCCTCAGGCTTTCTTTTGAACATCTCATACCTGCTTTTCCACGGACCCTTTGCTATAGCATATCCCTCTGAAAGTGTCCTTGTTGAGTAGCCACTAGATGGCAACCCTCAGTTCCTGGTCGGGCTACTCAGCACCCTGTGATGCTGAGTGGATGATGTTCCCCAGAGCAGTTTACATTCTCCTGCAGCATGTACTCCACTGAATACATGAGATCGAATTGTGTGTTGCGCATTTGATATTTAAAACATGAGACCTGTTCATTTCCCCACTCAGACACGAGCTCTGGGTGTCTTTCAGGCATCTTTGTCCAGGGGTAGCCAGCCACAGAGCTCACAGTCTGCCTTGCTGCTGTGTGCCAGCACGCTCACTCTGTTGTTTGTCTCAGCAGTGCAGAAACCTCTGTTCTGGCTCTTGCAACTGAATCTGCGAAAACTAACTCTTGCCCAAGCCTGGCCGGTTCCTAAGGCTTTGGTCCTTCGTTTTCTTTTTCAGTAAAGAGTAGGAACCTGGCCTTAGGGACCTTTTGACTGACTGATTTTCTCCTCTGTGAGCCTCCCTCATTATTATTAACAAGTTATTAATAGAAATCCAATTCTGCAGTAATGTACCTAAAGCCAAGTGAGCTAGCTGCTACTCCTGCTCCCACCTTTCCACCACAGACAGCCCCCTTGGGTGTTGTCTAGTCTAGTCTTTGTCACCCTTGCTTGGGTTCTACCCCTAGCCTCTACCTTGGACTCTCAGCATCTCCACTTTTTTCTTCCCCACATCCTTATCCAGAGTTCCAGAAAGCTGTTGAGGACACAAGCCAGATTTCTCCCATGGTGGGAGGTTGCTTCTGTTGTTTTTAGGCTTCATTATAAAACCCTTCATGTTCTGAGTCTACCTCCTCCTCAGCCTCTCCGTGTACACATCCCCTTCTGCTTTATCTGTTCCAATCACAGTGTGTTTTTAGCCTTTCACTTGTGGTACTCTATTCCGACACTGGTCCTTTGCACATGCTGTTCCTAACATCTGGAGAACCCTTCCCATCTCTCAAAGCATTTGTCTGGTTCTTGGGTCGCTCTTAGCTTTCAGTTTACTTGTTAGTCCTTTGAAGAAGCCTTTCTTCACTTCTACAATAATGTTAATTTTTAATCTTTTATTTTCCAACATCAGGAAGATATAAAAGGCATTCTAAATTGTTCTGGTCTGTAAAAATCAAGTACTTATTCTAGGTTTTGACTTCTAGATAATCTATTATCTCAATAGAGAAATTACAAAGACTTTTTGTAGAGGCTACCAAAAAGGAGCTTTTACACATTTATTGCTAAAAACAAATTAGTGTGTTGTATAACGAACCATATTTTAGCTTATAAACAGATTTTCATAACACTTCTTAAATGTATTGTCTATTCTAATGAACAAAGCAAGTAAAAGCTCCACAGAGAAGTATAAAGAGCCTCATCCAGCGATGAAAAGCTTCAGTGTTGCTGAGAAAATGGACATTGTAGTTAGGGGTTTTTGTTATTGGAGTGTGTGTGTGTGTGTGTGTGTGTGTGTGTGTGTGTGTGTGTGTGATGTTTGATCTGGGAAGTAATCAACCATAGCTGTTCTTTGGCTTTAAATCAGTGAGTTTATTAAATGTATAACAGCATGCCAAAGTAAAAGAATAAATCTAGTAAAAAGATAGGTAGTGAAACACCATCAAATCAGTACTCAGAACATTCAGCAGAAATGACTGGGGAAGCCCTTCTAAGGAAGCCAGCTGGAATTTCCTATAGAGTGAGTCCTGGGCAGAGCTGAGTATCCCCTTGGATGAGGCTTTCAAGTAAAAGAACAGATAGCAACAGATAAGAGATAACATCAAATTGGGTGCTCACAGCATCCATCAGAAACCAACTGGGGTTGAGGCAGTCAGCTGGAGCTCCACACTGAGCCTCATGCTGAGCTCATGGCTGGACTTCCATCTTCTTTTTGTCACTGTACGCAATTCTGTGTTATGGGAAATGGCTTGCCTTCTAGCTGTATTTAAGGGCACAGTGTCTTTACTCTTGTACTGTTTTATTGTTCTTTCTCCTATCACAGAGTTAAGAGGGCCAGTCCATTCCCAGCCAAGGGAATGGCTATACATGTTCAGCTGAAGGTGGGGGAAGGTGGGGAATGGACAGCTGCTTCCATAGCCAGCTTCTCAGTGAATTCAAACAGCACATGGTAATTTACAAATAAAGCATTCATGAAGAAGACAACTTTTTGGAGTCAGTTCTCTTTGTACCTTTATGTGGGTTCCAGAGATCAAACTCAGGCCACCAGGTTTGTGTGGTAAATTCTTTTTCACCACAGCCATCTCCCTGGCCTGGTTCTCATTTTAAGGTTTATATATTGCAAACTGAAAGTTATTTTGGAAAAATAACCAATTAGTGTGCTTCCTTAGGAAAAGTAAACACTCTTTGGTAAAAATAGGTTGTCATCATCAGGGCTCCCTGGAGAAATGGCTGGTTTCAAGTTCTGAGCAGAGAAAGAACAAGGGGATCTGAAATATCCTGTGCCAGAGAGCAAGGACGTGCTCAGAGACTGGTGAGGACATGACAGAGACACACAGCCAGCTTCAAGGGCCCATCCTCCCGGACCAGACAGTTCGTGCATTTAAAGAATGGAGACAGTAACAGATGACACATACTGAATTAAAAGCAAAAGTATACAAAATCCAGAAAGGTGCTGCACGGAGCTCTTTATAGGAGAATAACAGGTTAAAAATCACCATGCTGGGGCTGGAGAGATGGCTCAGCGGTTAAGAATATTGGTAATGTTCTTGCAGAAGACCTGGGTTTGAATCCCAGCACCCACATGGCAGCTAACAACTGTCCATAACTCCAGTTCCAGGGAATCCGACAGCCTCTTCTGTCCTCCTCAGGCATTGCATGACACAGGTGCACTTACCTACATACAGGCAATACACACATACGCATAAAAATAATAAATATTTAAAAAAAAATCACCATGCTGCATCTTCAGATGTGACCACTGACTAAGCAGGACATTAAAACGACTATGTTTAAATGAGGTTTTCAAGGGTCATGAAGAAGGAAGGCAGGGCAGGGTGCAGTGGCCACATGGAAGTCGCTTGGAGTGGCTAGGACTTTTCCACAGTTGGATCCTCCCACAAGTGGACCCTATCGCAGGTGCCCTCTTTAAGGACAGGAGAACACAAGCTCTGTGCCAGAGTCAGGATCAGCTTCATTGCACTGGTTCATCTTGTCTCTTGGAAGTTTGTTTAAAGTCCATTTGTGGGGATGTTGAGGTATCAGGAAAACAGGTATTTGAAAAAATTGACAATATACATTAAGTAACACATTGAAGAAGAGGATAGTCTCAAAGTGTCATCCCACAGACTACTTAGTATTTCAGAGTGAGAACAGTTCTTAAAATGGGGATCTTGGGCTCAGGAGAAGACTCAGTTGGTAAAGTGTTTGCTGCACAACCATGAGGCCCCAAGTTTGATCCCCAGACCCCATATAAAAAGCCAATCATGGTAGTGTGTACTTGTAAAGCCCAGCACAGGGGAGAGGAAGACGGGTGGATCTCTAGGGCTCATTGGCCAGCTAGCCTAGCCTACTCAGTAAGTTTCAGGCCAGTGAGAGACCCTGTCTCAAAAAATAAGGTGAATGGCACCTAAGGAATGACATCCAAGGTTGACCTGTGGCCTCCATGTACACATACACAAATAAATAATAAATGGAGAACCTGCCCCCCCCCACTGTACAAATTAATTTCAGCAATAGGGAGACCATCTGATGTGATGCCTCCTCCCCACATGCCCTGTAAGGACACGGTATCATATGTTCACATCAAACCTCTGTAATCACAGAGAACTTATATGACAAGTGACATACTGCAAAAACATCTGGTCTGGCCTCTGAAAATGACAGCAACTGGGGTTGGAAAGATGGCTCAGTGGTTAAGAGTGCTGGCTGCTCTTGCAGAGGACCTGGATTTGGTTCCCATTACCCATGTGGCAGCTGACAACCATCCATAACTCCAGTTCCAGGGAATCCAGTGCCCACTTCTGGTCTCTGTGGGCATTGCACATTGCACACATGGCTGCACTTACATACATGTAGGCAAAACCATCACACACATAAAACAATAAATAAAAATTGTAAAAAATGACAAGTACAAAGGAAATTTGGAGATGAATTGGAAAATGTGTGTGTAGATTGTTAGCTAAGAAGTGAACTCTGATCGACTATTAAGATGGTTCTGAAGTGTTCATAGGCGGTCATGTGTCATTGCATCAGGTGGCACAGCAAAAGACTTGTATGAGGAGTGTGCAAGAGTGACAGTGGTCATTCCTGAAGCAGGGGGATAGGCAAATGCATGCTTATTTGCTGTTCTGTCCACTCCAATTTTTTTTAAAAGAACCACTCAGGTTGTAATTTGCCTTTATTCTGTTTTCCTAGATGTGATACAACAGAAAAACTCAGAACTACTTTGGATTACTTAAGATCACTATTAAACGATACAACAAACTTTAAGCTCATTTACAGATACGCGTTTGACTTTGCACGGGTGAGTTCTCTGGAGTCTGTCCAGACATCCCTTGAAAGGTTACTCCTGTGATTTGAGCTAGTATTTTTAATGCTTTAAAAAACTGATTCTGGGCAAAAATGTGTGTTAGCCAAAAGCTTTAGTACCTGGCATTAACCAGCCTTTGTGACTTAGGAGTAACGTACATGGGCATGTTAATAGTTTTGGATATCTCTTAAGTAAACTTGATAAAGTTCTTTCTAAAGTTCTTTCTTCTTACACAACAGACATTGGCCCCTTGAGGGACTAGAGTAAGCTAGCCATACCTAATCCAGTTTCATTCTGCCTGCTGTTACTGTATGTGGAAATACTGTGAATTCAAACCTAGGCTCATTTCTTGTTTGCTACATAGTGAGTCAAGTCCAAGTATGTGAAATAAAAGCCTTACATTATAGCCTGGTCACTGTAGGTAGCCAGTTCCAAAGTACCAGTTGGTGGTGTATCCATCCTCACAGCCCTTGAGAATAGTTTATTGTAGATGAGTGTTTTCTGTGTTTTTGTTTGGTGGGTTCGGATGAGCAGGTTTCTTGACTGGATGCCATTTTTAGATTTTTAAATAGAGTGATGAATGAGTCTTCCTTTCCACCACACTCATCTTTTCTTATTTGTTACTTTTCTTATTTGTTTAACACCAAAGCTTCATTCCGTGGTGGATTGCAGCATCTGCAGTGCTCTGCTGGACCTGGTGTTGTACATCTTTCTATATTGTAGTCTTCTAATAAAGTCACAGTGTGTGTGGAATGTGCTGATGCTAGAAATGATGATGTTATGCTAGAAATGATGATGATGATGCAGATGCCATGTTAGACTTAACAGTATTTATGTAATTATATGTGGGAGTGAGATACCAGGTGCTTCTAGAATAGGCGCTAGTTTCTAGGATTAAGTAGTTTATTGCATGAGTTTATTACATTATAGTGTATTACATTTTTTTCTCTCTAAGTCAGCTGTGTCTTCATAGTATGAATAGAGGTCTTTTCTGGAATACCATGGCTCTCTACACCCAAATCATCTCTTTTCCGTCCTTCTTGCTTGGGTGTCAATTCTCGATGTCCTTTCTACTTTAGATTCGGGTCCTGTTTTGTTCTTCCCTGGCTTTTATCTCTTCTGGGTCAATTGCTGTGGCCCACCATGTGGGAGTCTTCTTTCTTGGTGCCTCCCCTCCACCACAGGCTTGCCAGGTGAGGCCCTTGTTACTCCTAACCTGTACTCTCACATTACCTTATTTCCATACTCCTCCACTCCTCAGCCAGCGCCTACATCAGTAAGGTCATCTGTCTTCCTTCAGCCTTGCCTAGCTCCCCAAAGCCTTCAGTACCTTCTTGCTACCTAGATGTGAGCATGCGCTTGCAGATGTGGACAGTTCAGTTGCCCCCACAGCAGACAGACAGTGTCATCTACTTCACACAGGAAGAAAGTGGGCCTGAGGGAAGTGGAGAATTTGACCTTTCATTAGTAGACAGTAGAACCAACACTCAAACCAAGGATTTAATCCCAGTCACAGAAACTCAAAATCTTGCCCTGGGCTAGTCCCCTCCACAGTGCCTGTGTTGAGGGAAGTTGCATTAGCTATGGCTCTGATGCCTGACCCTTCAGATTTCTGCTTTCTGCCCCTGCTCAGGCTGGGCCATTGCCTGGACCTTGTTTACACTCCCAGGGTTCTGTCCCTCTTGAAGTTTGTGGGCCCAGCCACATGCTTCTCTTCTACACAGCCTCCTGGATCAGCCTGTCCTGGAGGACTTACCCTGCTTTTGGGTCCACAGCCCTGGTAAGTCCTCTCTATGGCTTTGGAATTTAGATACAGGCCTTCATAGTCTTGGTAGATTGAGGACTATGAGTTTTCCTTTTTGTGTATGTTCATAGAGTTCTTGCTTTTAAGGAGCACCTCAATAGATATTGGTAAATGAATCCATTTTACATGATGATGAATAACAGCTACTCATAGTTAATCCTATTTAATTACCATAGTGATTCAGTTCAGCCTAAAAATGAACTCGATAACTTTGTTTTGTTTAGCTGTGTCCCACAAGTTTTGAGATGTTGTAGTTTTCATTTTCATTCAGTTAAAATAGTTTATCTTGTGGTCTCTTCTTTTTGTGAGATGGGCTCTTGCTACATAGCCCTGAAACGCATGCTCCCAGTCCTGTTTCATCTTTCCAAGTGCTAAAATTATAGACGTACATACTACTCTCCCTTGTGATTTCCTTTTTGCCACATTGATTATTTAGAAACATATTGTTTATTTTCCAGGTATTTGAGATTTTCGAGACAATCTTTGTGTTATAGATACCTAGTTTAACTTCATTGGTTAGAGAAGTGTAATTACAGTATGTTTAATTTTTGCTCAAAATATGGTCTGCTGTGATAATGTTTGCCATGTTGCTTAGAATGTTGCTGCTGTCCAGTGGGTGCCAGTTAGGCCAAGTTGGCTGACAGTGCTCAGATGTTCTCATCCTTACTGACTGCTGCCTGTTGTTTTGTTAGTTGCTGAGAGAAAAATGTTGAATTCTAATTATTTCTTTTATCATTCCTGTCTTTTTTCCCCTATGTATTTTGAAGCTCTGATTATAGTATTATACTCTGTATTCGTTTTTTTTTTTTTTCTTTTTTTGGTCTTTTTGAGATGGTCTCCTTGTAGCCCCAGCTGTCCTGGAACTCACTATGTAGACCAGGCTGGCCTTGAACTCACAGAGATCCACCTGCCTCCGCCTCCCAAGTTCTGGGATTAAAGGCGTGCACCACCATGCCTGGCTTATACTCTGTATTCTTATGTGCTGAATGAACTGACCACTTTCCATTCTGAGGTGTGTCTGTCTTTTAATATTCCATATTCTAGTTTATTTTGTCAGACAGAAATATAGTGAGCCAGCTTTCCTTTGACTAAAATCTACATGAAATATCTTTTCTCTCCTTTTTCTTTAACTTACTGGCTTCTTTATATTTAGAGTGGATTTTTTTTATTTATAATTTTAATTTTGTGTGTATGAGTGTATTGCCTGCATGTATGTGAGTGCACCCGTGTCATGCAATGCTGCATTGGTCAGAAGAGGACTTCAGATTCCCCTGGAACTGGAGTTAAGGATGGTTCATAGTTGTGTTGTGGGTGCTGGGAATAGAACCCGGGTCCTCTGCAAGAGCAGTCAGTGCTCTTAACACCTCTGAGCCATCTCTCCAGCCCCTAGAGTGGATTTTTAAAGAGAGCATATATTTGGGTCTGATGATGTGTGTCTTAGTTGAGATGCTGAAACTACATTTGATATAACTATTAATAAAACTTGTACTTCCTATCTTGCTGTTTTCCCATTTGTCCTATTTTATTAAATGTAAATATAAAAAACTGATGTCACTGTTGCTCTTTTTCCTCGTTTCAAGCCTTCTTTTGGGTTGAGGTGGGTTTTGCCCACACCTTTGCTGTATGTGTTTTCAAGTTCTTACAGTCTTCAAGTACTGTTCTCCCACTTCCTGCATCACCTGTGGGGACCAGGACAGCAGTGTGGCTCAGGTGCTTGCCATACTTCGTGCTGTCATCATGCATCATATGCTGTGACTCTCACACTGCGATTCTTTTAAATAGGTAAATCTGTCTGTTACAGTTACCCATGTGAATAGTGTTGCTGTGTTCTTTATTCCTCTTGGCATAGATTTGGGTGTCTATCAGACATCAGTTTCTTTTTTCCTAACAAAGATCCTTTAACATTTCTTGGCATACAGAGCTGCTGGTGATGAATTCATTAAGATTTTGTCTTTGCCTTCTATTTGACAAGATACTTCTCTGGGTAAAGACTTGTAGGTTGACATTTTTTTATCCAGTGATGTCTTTATATTATCTTTTTTAAAAATATTTTATTATTTTTATTTAATGTGTATGAGTGTATTGCCTGCACGTATGTGAGTGAGGTCAGAAGAGGGCTTCGGATTCCCTTGGAGCTGGAGTTAAGGACAGTTTGTAGCCTCCATGTGGTGCTGGGAATCAAACCCAGGTCCTCTGCAAGAGGAGTCAGTGCTCTTAACCGTTGAGCCATCTCCCCAGCCCTTTATATTATCTTTAATAATGTATAGTTTCCAGTGATAAGTCTGGTATCATTCCTGTCTTTCGTCTTTAAATGTCTTTTGTTTTGCTTACTTCTAGATGTTGTCTCTTATCACTGCTTTTTAGAAAATTGCTAATGATGGTCCTGATATGTTTCTTATTAATCTGGTTGAAGAATTTGGTAGACATTTTGCATCTTTGGGTCTATAGCTTCAGTTAAGTCAGGAAATCTTTTAGCTGTTATCCCTTTAAATATTTTTTTATGGTCTCTCTTGGTCTACAAAATATTTGCTATATTTCTTTTTTATTGTCAATAATTTTTTATTTAAAGGATTTCACATGTAATTCCTTGACCTTTGAGGTTCCTGAAAATCAAGATTTCTCAAGATAATCCTTTCTCAAAGAATTGATTCTTAATCCAGTTCTGCTGTCAGCCCACAGGGCTTTTATGTCTGCATGAACTAAGGACATATTCATGGCAGCTTCAGAGTTCTCTTGACATCTTTGGTATCCAGTTTCTTGAAACAGTTTACTTTAGGAACCATGTTAGGCTAGACCTGCTTCTCAGTTGCTGATACCCTATACTTCTTTAAGAGTGTGTTCATATCAGACTCAGTCCCAAGTCATCACACTCAAGGAACACTGGTCTGAAGGAGATGCCAGGGCTACTCTGAAACAAACATCCATTCAAAGACAGGTGTCCTCACCTCCAGGCTTCATGTTCAAGGCAAGCCTCATCATCGACACCGTCACTTTGAGCTGTCTTCTCGTTCACATTCCTTATCTGTATCAAGGCTCATACTGAGCAGTGAGTTCTGAGTTGCAAAAGAGGATATGTTTTTGCAACTGTTTGTCTTTGTCCACCAGTAGGACACACACACACACACACACACACACACACACACACACACACACACACACACGCGCTGTTACATTTATATTGATTTTTCTTGATATTGTCCCACAAGTCACTTTTTTCCCCTCTTTTTTCTTTGTTCTTTTTAGATAACTTTTAGTACTATCTTCCAGTGCTGATGTTTTCTTTTGCACGATCTAATCTCCTGTTAAAACCAACCGCAGCAGTTTTTATCAGTGTTTATTTTTCACCTCTGGAGGTTGCATTTGCTTCTTGTTAGGCTTCCCTTTTTTCCTCCTTTGCCTCCTTAAACATCTAGAGCTTGTGTACTGTGACATACTTAACAACTTGTTGCTTCCATGTGTCTGTTGTTTCTGAGTGGTGTTCAGTTAGGTGACCTTCCTGTGAGTCATATTGTAGTTTTTTTTACTGTCCTCTTTCTTCATTGGTGCTCACATTGTGAGTTCTGTTGGTGTTGGATTTTGTTATTCCCTCAATGTCGGATTTGCCTATCCTTTCCTCTCCTACTTATAATTGGTTTGGTCCTTTGAAAGGTTGGTCCAGAGCAGCCTTTCCCCTGTAGCAACTGAGCCTTACTGCTCAGGCAGTGCCCTTTAGAGGAGTCTTCTCTGCATATATATGATCTTTCTGTGTTGTTAGTGAAATACAAACCATCTCCAGTACTTTGTGTGACCTTAGTTTCTTCTCAGTAGTTGCGTGGATCTTTGTGCAGTAGCTTCCTCTCACAAGCTCACCAATAGTACACAGGCAAAGAAGGCTAGAGGAGCCAGCTGGAGAGCTCCAGGCTGCTCCGTGTGACTCCCGGTTCCTTTTACCTCGTTGGCCTCCAGACTCTCTTTTCTCCAGCTCAGGAGAACCCTTGGGCCCTGTTTGAGTTTCCTTTTGCTATACCATGGAGGCCGCCTCTGTGGAGGAAGCTGGTATCAGCTAGGGCTTCTGTTGTTTTCTTCTTCCGGGAAATAAATCCCAGTTCTCTGCTGTTGCCAGAGCAGGAAAACAGGCACTTGTATCTCCAGTCCCATTTCTTGGTTGTTTTTAAGTGAAAAATGAAATCTGGTCTTATTGGAAGCAGAACGCAAACCTCTTTCTCTGACATTCCCTCTTTTTCTGCTAGAAAAGGACTTCCTAGAAGTAATAACCTATCATTTATAATTAATATAGAAGATCTTTCTTTAAAAAATTGCAGTTTCAATGAAAACCAAACTTCTTGACAGTTCTTGAAAATTTACTATATTTTAACTATTGCAAAACAATAGCTGTGCATAATGTGTTAAATATTCAAATGATATTCTAATATACCAGAAAGAGACCATAATATAATATTAGAAAATGATAAAATGGCCTTTTTGACATCTCTCCACCAAAATTGTAGTCCCAAGAAATGATCACTTCTTTCATCTTTGAAGCTTTCAGCCAATTACAAATGATACTCAGCTACAAGTTTCTATTATTTTGTTTGTTTTGAGACATGGTCTCACTATGGAGCACTGGCTGGCCTGGACCTCGCTATATAGACCAGGCTGGCTATGAACTCACAGAGATCTGCTTGCCTCTGTCTCCAAAGTACTTAGATTAAAGGTGTGTACCACCTTGCTGAATCTCACTTCTTTATAGTTTTATAGATGCCATACAAATTTGATATCTTAGAGGTTACCTGGTCCAGCCTTGTCAGTACCAGATGATGAGAGGGAGGAGGGGCAGCTAATGGCCTTAGCTCTGCCCACTCTTTCCACCGAGCCTTCTGTCTTCCCCAACTCAAAACTGTCACCATCCTCTGGGGTCTTACAGTGGGAGGATAAGGGAATAAAAATTTCAAAGACAGTTCTCTTCTACAGTTGAAAATTCTCTAACTCCTGGGCTCCAGTGGTCCTCCTGCCCTGCTGCCTGCAGGAGCTGGGACTGCACAAGCCAAGGCACCTGGCCTTGGTTCTTAAGGACCAAGTGAGAACAATTTGATACTGGACAGAGAATGAGACAAAGACTGAATGTAGTGTTTTTTTTTTTTTTCTTCCTTAGACAGGATCTCCTATAGCCCCAGCCAGCCTAGAACTCACTATGTAGACCAGGCTGACCTTGATCTCACAAAGATCCACCTGTCTCTGCCTCCCAAATGCTAGAATTAAAGGCATGCACAACCATGCTTGGCTTGTGATTTTTCATTTTGATGTGAGGATAGTCAGTATGGGTGCATTGGACCTTTTTATAGTCTTCTGACTGGAGGAACACTACTGTGATGAGGGTCAAGGAGGAGGGAACACTGAACTAAGTCAGGCCCTGGTCAGCAGCAGTGTCAAAGGCCAGAGCAGAGGCTATGAATTTACAGTGTGGCTAGTGTCTACCACATGGCCTTACTCTGTCAGTGCCGACCTGCCCCAGTGGACCAAAGCAGCATTTTCAAGTGAGGGGTTCATGGTCCCAAGAGTTTAGAGGAACCTGATGGGGTTGGTAGAGATGAACTGAGGTAGAGCTTGGGAGGGATTGGTATCAGGCAATACTGCTAGGTGGAGAGGGACTGGCCCTTGGTGAGGGAGTCTAAGAGAGCCATGGTAGAGGAGTGAGTGATGGGGGGGGGGCTATTCTTTCACTTTTTGAAATAAGATTTAAAGTGTTTGAATGGTGGGTATTATAGAGACGGAAACTACATAGACCATTTGGTGAGAAAGGGTCCTGTGACAGGTTAGCCGGCTACCAGATCAAACTAGTCAGTGTCTTGATAACTACTCACTGTTCAACAGTTTTAAGTTATCAACTGCTTCTGTTTAGCATCTCCAAGGAAGTGATGCAGGAAAGTTCGAGAGTTCACACAAATTAAAGCCAGTGCTACCTTCTCCCTCCAGGGAAAATAAGCTGCACATGATTATGGATAAACAGATTTTGCTAGGTCCTGTGTTCAGAAGAATTCTTTATGCAATAGAACTTAAATCTGCTGTGGACATTGGGCTTTGCTTTTCTTCTCTAACCTCGATCAAACTGACTTACTAACCAGTATATTTGCCTGGTTTACTTTTTTGCACAATCCCCAACACACACTCTCATTCTCATTCTCTGTCTCTCTGTCTCTGTCTCTCTGTCTCTCTCTCTCTCAAACACACACACACACACACACACACTGTATTTTCCTCATATTTAATGTCATTGTAAATGAAAATGAAAACAGAAGGCTTTCATTGGAATGGGAGAAAGGATGGGAATATGATGTAGTCATCTACCCTCAGGTTTGTTACCCTGAAAATCTGAGTAGTTTTAACTTCAGATTCTTCTTTGGCTCTATGGTTGGCCCGCAGTTACTTGTAAAGCCAGTGGGTCTGCATCTCTTTCCATACTCAAAAGCTCCTGCTTTTGGTGAGCTCAGGCCTCAGACAAGACCTGGTTCAGGTCTCAGTTCTCCCATTTGCTGACTGTTACTTAATTTCCTTATTTATAAGTTGAAGATGATAATAACACCTATTCTAATAATGTTGCTGTATTGAATGAGTTTAAATGTCAGGGTTAGAATAAGGTCTCACTATTCACAGGAGTAGAAGTAGCTGTTGAATTCTTCATCCACATTATTTGTGCCAGTAAACCTTGTTTCAAAGACTGACTCTGAGAGTAGTGCTCATAGAGTCTTGTGGACCAAGTGAAATGATGAGGAAGGACTGAGTGCTGGTAGTTATTTCTTTCCTTCCATTTTGAAGGAAGTGTCAAAGATTAAGCTTAATTGCCTTGTAGACATTGTTATCTGTTTGCCAACGTTGGCTCAACTCTAAGTGTAATTCCTTTAATTCTTTTCCTAGTAAGCATGGATATTTCTCTGGTTTGTGACTTTTTTTTTTGGTTTTAATATGCACTAAAAAACCTTCCATTCAAAAAACCTGGTTTTTCACTATATATTCAGTTTCGTAAACTGAGCCACAGTATTTGTGGTTTGAGTTCATCTGAGCCCTCTGTTTTTACCTCATCTTTATTTGTTAGCTACACTAAGAATGACTTCATTTATTTCTCTCTCTCTCTCTCTCTCTCTCTCTCTCTCTCTCTCTCTCTCTCTCTCTTTTATATGTGTGGGGGAGAGAGAGGAGAAAACA